CGCACTACAACAGCTACACACAGGACCGGGCGTTCAAACCAGTGCGGCAGATCTGGGCGCGTGCCAAACGCAGACCTCCTCTCTCATTTAGCTGTTTAGATTGAGGCGTTCGTTTTTCGTCAGTTCAGTAGCCAAGGTTTCGTTAGTTCAGAAGCTAAGGTTTCGTTAGTTCAGTAGCCACCTTACGACAGCCAGATCATCGGTAAACTCCGGAAACCAGCGGCATGCCTTGGTACGTGTGGTAGCCTGACTGAGGCTATAGAGCACCGCAGAACTGCGGATATCAAGAGAAATGATCTATCGAATTTGATACAGGAAGATCAGTCGTACGGTCGATTCCGTGGTGTACATATCCGTGTGCAGGAAGTACAGCCACAAGAAGTTGAAGTCAAAGCCTGCCTGTTGTCTTTGTTCGACAAGGAAAATAGACCCCGAATCGCAGTAGATGACTGCTGCGCACCATGTTGCATAACGGGTCCATCCAACAGTACGTGTATTTGCAAACAGGATGCAACTGAAGGGCATTGTACCCCACCAGCTAAAGCCGAAGTGTGACACCGAATGCATTAAAGGTATTGCAAAACGTGCTGCACTGCTGCCTGTTTCAAAGCATGGCTGCATGCCCACACGTTACCTGTCAAGGCCAATGTCATGAATGCATGTCGTGACAGACGAACGCATGCTAATGACCAATTAAGGGCCGGCGTATCTTTGCTATTTGATTTCTCAGGCTGCGTGACGTATTTATTTTCCTGTATCTTTACACGTCATCAGCAAAACGAGCGGTCAGTCTTCCGCGGAATATATGATATGCTGCATCTAAAATGGCGAGACATAAAATGACGTTGGCGGCGCTTTGCCCAGCTAACAGCGGCTGCATCGTCAGGCAAAAATGCCTACATTTAGTGTACACCATGATGGTTTATCACAAACAAACGACAAAAACACAACGAAAATTGCACAGAAGCGTGTGCAATGACAAACGACCTGACCCTAAACATACAGATATGCTTCATGTTGTCACAATGCCGAGAAACTTCATGAAATGAAATTGTTTTGTGCCAAATGGAGTCAAATTCTTTTTTGAGTTTCGGAACGCCGGAGGGCATGGACGAGGAAAGATGCCTAGAACCGGGGGTCTCAAAATGAGTTATGTTGGTCTTCTAATGAGGATGGTCTTCAAGAAAAGCCATTGCTCAGAAACTACCCCTTTAAACATTCAATTTCGGCAGCAAGAATCGATAAGTGGAGCCGAGATGGTGTGCTCTGATGTTGACCGTCAGTATGGTACTGAGTATGAATGATTCTGGAATAAAGCTGAAAAACTCGTGCCCAGCCCGGTGCAAGTAGGCTTTCTGTACACTTAACTGTGTAGACGACCACCCTCTTTCTGTACACTTAGCTGTGTAGACGACCACCCTCTTTCTGTACACTTAACTGTGTAGACGACCACCCTCTTTGCGATTGAGGACGTATGCACACACACACACACACACACACACACACACACACACATATATATATATATATATATATATATATATATATATATATATATATATATATCTTGCTGAAAACGCAATATTGAGCACAATATGTACACGACAGCAATCAATCGCTCTCAAGAAGTGAGAAGTTGTCATAAACCTGGTCAAGCCAAAAATATAGTTCGATGCGCATTGAAGCCATGGGCAATAGGCATTCAATGTACGAGCCTGTGAAGCAGTTGGTCACTGCCTTAGCTCTAAAAACCCTTCACCCTGCGTGGAAATCTCCAATCAGCAAAGCATAGCGCGTATTATGAGCGTTTGGGTCAGAATAAATTGAACTAAAAAGTCCCTCAATCATGATCAGAGCACACCTAGGGCCGGCCCGTGCTTGATTCGTGCCGCTTCCTCTCGGGTCTTGAGGGCAGGCCGCGTGCCTCTGTGCGACGTCGCCGAAGATGCCGGTGATACACCAGCGTGGAGAGGTACTCACCGTCACCAACTGGTCCGGTCCCTGCGCGCAGAGACCTGGGTCAGCACCGGCACCGGTCACACACCCGCAGCCACACATACACACACGTGGTGCGGTGCAGGCTCACGCTCGCGCTGTACCGACAAGGGTGGTTATCCCAGTGACGGGCGCTTATTGGGGCGCCTTGACTGAATATGAGGCGCGGATGCCAAATGGGAGTGCTGTTAACAAAAACAACGATTTCCCTTCAGTGCTCACGATCTACTCCGTCATACAAAAGCATATGGTTCCACAAGTCGCGGAGTGGCTTGTTAGACAGCGGCGACGCCGACGCTGGCACAACCCGGACCGGACGTGTGGGGTGATTATCCCATTCACGGGCGCTTACTGGGGCGCCTTGACTGCCTTTTGAGTGTGGAAGACACTGATGCCAAGACGAAGTGCCCTTGACAAAAACTACGATTTGCTTTCAGTGCACACGAACTACGTGCGTCATACAAAAGCATGTGGTTCCACAAGTCGCGGAGTTGCCTGTTAAGCCATCGCGGCGCCGGCGCTGGTGCAACCTCGACCGGACGTGGGGAGCAGTGTCTGCTGGTCTCCACACGGCGGCGCGCGCCACAGTATCTCGTCTTGCAGTCTATATCGAGCTTCTCGGTCTGAGGCGGGCGTCTCAGCCCGTCTCGAGCGTCTCAGGCTGTGTCGGGTGTTTCAGCCCGTCTCGGGCGTCTCAGTCTGTGTCGGGTGTCTCAGCCCGTCTCGGGCGTCTCAGTCTGTGTCGGGTGTTTCAGCCCGTCTCGGGCGTCTCAGTCTGTCGGGTGTTTCAGCCCGTTTCGGTCATCTCAGTCTGTATCGGGCGTCTCAGCCCGTCTTGAACATCTCAGCCCGTCTCGGGCGTCTCAGTCTGAGCCGGAAGTCTCAGCCATCTCGAGCGTCTCAGTCTGTAATGAACGTCTCAGCCCGTCGCGGACATCTCAGTCTGTATCGGGTGTCTCAGCCGCTCCGTCCCACTGACCGAGTCTCGGGTGGCTATGAAGCCATGGCACATCCAGCGGCGCGTGGTGCCGTCCCGGCAGATGTAAGAGAAACCCCGCTCGTTGTTACGGTCTGGCGCGCAGAACGACACCTTCTCGATTGTCTGATCCACCAATAGACCCTGCCGGTTAGCGTATGACGCATCAGAAAAGAGACATCCGACATCGCAAACCATGGATATGGATGAGACAAAGCACACTGTCATCAGACGCAGATCACACCCCAGCAGGTAAGTTACAATCAAGTAATGAACATCAGTCGTCAAACATAGAAAACTAGGTATTAGACACGACACAAAATTGTCTCGATCATCGGATCCATCGCCAGGTTCCGTCGAAACGGAACACCAAACACCAGACCGGAGCACAGATCCCAGGCGGGTTGGTCTCATTGCGTACTTGCAGTGGCTATCGGGCATGAAACAAGGGATTCGTTGTCCTCAGCGTGACTTTTCGGTCTCTGGAGCCGTCTCTATGACTTCGGTCATTCGAAGCATGTGCCTGGTTGAGCTAGGAAGCGTTGGGAGCAGCATCATAATCCCACAATATCATTAATGACTGAAATTTGGACTGCACTTTTTGCATTGTGGGGGAAAAGATGGTGGCCTCATCCTCTCCAAGCTCCGGATTATTTTCGTCATTATTTGAATATCTTATTACGTTCGACTCCACATACTTGATGGCCTACTTGCCTTGGTCTCATCATCCACAACGCGCAGACCATCTCCCGAGATGAAGAGGACACTGCGCAGCGGGCGGCGTCTCTGGGACTGGAACAGAGGTCAGGCGGACCATCACCTCTGAACAGAGGTCAGGCGGACCGTCACCTCTGAACAGAGGTCAGGCGGACCGTCACCTCTGAACAGAGGTCAGGCGGACCGTCACCTCTGAACAGAGGTCAGGCGGACCGTCATCTCTCAACAGAGGTCAGGCGGACCGTCATCTCTCAACAGAGGTCAGGCGGACTGTCACCTCTGAACAGAAGTCAGGCGGGTCATCACCTCTGAACAGAGGTCAAGCGGACCGTCACCTCTTAATAGAGGTCAGGCGGACCGTCACATGCTGAGCACACACATTGATCAGCCGAGGCGTCGTCTCATCCGAAGTAGTGCATTATTGATGCCTGTCCTCCCTGTTTTCGTCGCCTCGCCGGCTGGATGAGTTGAAGCAATTCACTGGGGCATCCTACGGCACATCCGCCCCAACTGACTACAGGCCTGTACCCTGTTGATCGTACGTTGCTGCCTGCCAGAACGTTTCCGTTTGTGCGTCAATTGGTTTCGTCTCACAATTACCACCCAGCGATAATTTAACACAAAATAGTCTTGCGTTACCGATAAGCCATTCTGTTGATGCATGCATAGCCTGTTACGGGTTCTGCTCACACTAAAGCTTTGTTTCTGTGACAGTTTTAGTTGCTTCAACCGTTCACTCGCAACAGGCACTATTTATGCCAAGTTTAGACCGCGAAAGGTTTGACTTCCGTCTGTCAGCAATGTGCGGCGATATGCGCTGCTGTAAAAGTGATACGACGCGGTGAGTAAAAGTCGCATTGCAAAATGTATGACACCTACTTTGCTTTGCTCTATTAGGAATGAACACATTCTTTTATGAATCACAAGCTCGCCATTATTCCATAAATCAAAAAGCCTGGACGCCGTTGAGCTTCAATCATATGAAGCGTGCTTTCATAAGTTCTGGTGTTTACCATGGTGTTGCCTGATACATGTTGGTACATTTTATTATTCAAATTTTAAAAAATACCGAGGGTATATCAATGGCAAGTGCTTAGTGGAATTCTAAGTTCGAAAGCTGGAGCCGGTCCCGGTATCTGCCAAAGCGTTACATCAATCTTGACAAGTAAACCCAGCAACGACAGTACTTACCTTGAGCAGTTTGAGAGCGTCTTCACAGACCTGCATGCCTCGGGACTCGTAGACCTGAACACAGCCGAGGTACTGCAAAAGAGTAGAACATGACCCGAGGTCAGATGGTTAGACACGGAGACTCTACGCTTCCAGTGCACGATAGTTACCTGTGTACAGCTTCCATGCTTCACGCAATATTTTAAAACATTTGTGAGCACTGGCATTCAGTGTCGTGGATACAACGCTGCGCCCAACAAAGAGACGGACACCCAAAAAGTAGCGATAAAAGGGACAGCAAAACACAAAAATCACGCTGCCAACATAAGAAAACACGGCAGAAGGACTCAGACTCACCTTGACGTGGAAGGAGCAGATGCCTTTCTTGACGGCGGCCTCGTCGCCCTGCCATTGTCGGGGCCCGGACTCGGCCGGAAGGTACTGCTTCCGCCGGAAGCTGTCCCGCAGCGACCGCCTCAGCCTGTCCATGACGCCGCCCCGCGCCTGCGCTGACAGGCGCAGGCACCGCCGCCGCGCCGGCCGACGTGTCCCAGCCTGAAGCGGAGTCCCGCAGGGTGCTCACTAAGTGCGGCTGGCCAGCACAAGCTGCGCCACGCATCCGTGCGTGCAACAATGAATGTTGTGATCTTAGTTGTGTGCCGTGCGAAAGACCGCTGTCACGTTAACTCACACATCTTTGAAGTTGACTGGACTTCTTACAGTGCGCAATACCGCTTCAAGGTAAAAAAAATCATTAAAAACGGCACCACCACTGGGATGTCCGGCCACAACTAGTCTCAGCACTTAGCCTGATGAAACATGCCTTAGTCAACATCGAACACACTGAGACAAGGCACGACAGAGTTGGTGATGAAGCGATGAAGTGTACAGTAAACCACCTAAACAACAGCTAACTGGAAACTATTTATTATAATGAGCCGCCGCAAAAACGATGAAGAGAGCTGTTATGAAGAGCTCTTTTAACGCTGAAGACGCTGCTGACGTGGCTCACAGCTTGTTGGAATCATGCCCATGCATTTCTGAGAAGTATTGCGATGAATGCCTGTTCGTTTGAGCCGCAAAGAATCGAAAGTGTGGTGCAATCATGTATTCAAAGTATTTCATATCCTGCTTATTCATTTAAGCAGACGTTTTACCGCCGTCGCTGCCGCATTCATAACAACACGCATTGCCCGTGATCAGCCTCCCGCAGCCAGCCGAGTGCAAGGATTTCAACTTTCTTTTCCACGTATCCCTCCGCTGTGAAGTTTGCGACGAGCTCCTTCCTCGCGCTTCTTCCACGACGCGTTCCCTCGTTTGTTGAGAATCTCAGCCAACTGTGCGGCGGAAACCCCGAGCAAACAGTCCGTTTCAGGCAGGGCGCTGGCGGCAGTGACTTAATCAGCCGCGCCGAGTCCTTGGGGAACGTCCAAGGACATTTGGCACCCGCGGGGAGTCGCCGTGTTCACTAACGTTAACTGGCGTCGGGTCGCTGCCGGCATATATCGCCCCTGGCTCGTCCGCCGAGGCATCGATCGCTGACCAAGGCCGCCGACGGACTTGTTAAAAACGATGGGAACCACGGCCCAGCGCTGCTTTTATACACTGGACGCCCGCTTGATAAGCCCTTCACCATTTCGGAGAACGACTTCGGGCTACAGCGTCAACGTGGGAAAGGCTTTTGAATGTATCAAGATATTAAGCAGTTGCTCGATGAACGAAGGACTAACTATGGCACAAGCACAGTTTTTGTTTTGGGGTGCAGGGAGAACTTCCAAATTTCCAGCCTACAAATGCAAAGCGTAAAGTCTTCTTGTTATATTCGCTTCCGTGGCAGCTGTGCTTAATTATGATTAAGTACACGCTGCATCAGGGGGGAAGCAAGATATTGAAGCATTGGGGTTTGGCGAGGGAAGGCCACAACACAAAATGTTGACTGAAAAATGTTTTAATGCATCACTTTTGAGCAAAATGCCTTAAATGGCGTTTAACAATGCCGCAAGCGTTTAACCTGCGCTTGTTTACGGTAAGCACCACACAGTGTAAGCGTAAACACGAACAGCTTAAGTGTCCGTCGGGATTTTTTATTGCCGGCATTTATACACATGGATATTAAGACAAGACAAAATCCGACAGAAGGGGAGCGCACGTGCAACAATGTGCCTCACCTGTCTTAAAGACGCTCCCGCGCTGCCCCTCGGATCAAAGCGGCGGGACGTGTTGTTGTAAGTAGTTATACTATTGATACACAGTTGTCGGTAATTATCTGACGGCGAAAGTTCACTGTAAGTAATGTGTGTCTGAGCGTTTGTTTCACATTGCAAGCTGCACAGTTCTTTTTAACTCGCAACCTGGGGTGCTATGAGATATTGGGTCCTTGTAACTGGCCGTCTTTAATCAGCCATCTTAAAACCTTTTGCAAGATCCACAAAACAAGCGAATCCATGACGAGTTACGTAAGTTGTTCAGTGCATTTGCGAGAAGCATTATTCACATAGATTTCTGAGATTGCTTCGGTAAAAACATTTTGGAAAATATCAACCCACCTATATCTCCACTCTTCTGGTTTTTCTCCGGAGAATAAGGCTACTTCTATTGTCTTATCTGTGAATCCATGACAAGTGGCAATAACTGTTGCCTACGAGTTTTTTGCTTTCGCCATTCGAGGGGGTCCCAAAAGTGTCCAAAGATCCCGAAACTAAGCAAGGGAGAGCTACGCTGAAAACACATTTAAAAGCTCTTGTCAAAGTGTACGGGTCAGACAATGTGGCCTTTGGCAAGTCAAATCAGGTCAGTTGGGTTAAATTAGCAATTTATGGAGCCCTCCTGCAATCCTAAGAACTAGGCATGCTAACGCAATGTGGAATGCGGCATTAAGATCGTTGTACACGCACTAGCATATGCCCACACATGTGGCCTGTGCTATTTCATGTCAGGTCAAATAGGTAAAGGCAATTGTTTTGCTGGCCCGTCCAGCTATGTTGAGAACAAAACAAGCTACATAGCTGCATTGGTGCAATGTGGAGAGCATGGTTAGAAATTTCCATTGTAAGAGGCAGAACGGTGTTCGAATGACTTTTTCGCCTGATCACAAATGTCAAGGTTTTACCCAGTTTGACCTTAAATGATATGACCAAGCAAAAATTGCCCGAAAAAACTAAAGCACTTCAGTGATAAATATAAGAAGACGGGTCCAAAGAACCTCCTTGAATTGCCTTTCTTGCGATCTATAAGCGTAACGCGTCGTTCCTTACCAAAATGTCACCAACATGGCCTTGAGAAAGTGGTCATCGATTATAAACCTCCATGACAACAAACTTCGTACATTCACATGTTTAACACTTACGTGAACTCAGTCACCCAAAAAGTCAGCACCGTGCTCAAGAGCGCTAAGCAATTATTCAGGAGAGCCCAATGGGAGACTTGAGGCTCCTCCTTTCGTAGGACAAGGGTTAAAACACTCTACAAACCCGGGCTTATACTGATGGGGCTTCCAGCATGCATCTTGGTTGTAAAACATTGTGTGTATCTTTCAATGTCTTCTCTCAGTTGACGCCATTTTCGGCTGCCTTACCATTGGGACGGACTAGTGAGAGCTCGAGAACGACGTTGTTTTGACGAATGGTGGCGCGCTTCACGTTCCTGTCCGCTGCGTTCCCCTCCCCCTCCCTCTACCGCCACGCCTGGCCGAACGCCTCTGTCGGCCCTGACTGCTCATAACAACCTTCGGACATCGATTTCACGGATTGTTGACAGAGCGGGTCGAGACGGGGCCTGAAACCTGGAGTCTACGCAGAGCTGTGAGGTCTTCGGCCAGTCAGCTGACGTTAGAACCTGGCTCCGACTCTCTGGATCATTCTATCGCGAACCGTGAGCCGTCGCTCCTGCTGGTCTCGCAGAAACGCATTGCTTGAATCCCAGTCCCTTGCTTTTAATCACGCATGGCATTGCACTTCCAAAAACAGTCCACATCCGTTCACCACCTTTATGCATGAGTACGCCATCTGAGCCCGTCGCACAACCCGACAGGCTCTGACGCCCCCCCCCCCCCCCCCCCTCCCCCCTCCCCCCGCCCACATACCTGACGATCGCGCCGGGGCTGGCTCGCTCCGTGACGATGTCACCGGAGCGTGCTGGGTCACGCGCCGTGACGTCAGACACCCACACGAGTCGCGCCGAATGGCCGTCCGCCCCCGACGCTGTTACGAGCTGCTCTATTGTCCTCCGGGACCCCTCTGCAGCAGCAGGCTGCGCGGTGGGCTCCTGCCCCGCGCCTGAGGCTTGTGAATGCCGCGGTATGTGGTACTGAAATAATGTGTTGCGCTCAGCGAGACCGAAGGGTTTCGGCGTGTACCGTGTGCCGGGTTGTGGAGTCGTGCCTTTCCTACATTTGCGACCACATTGCGTCTGGCTGCGAGGGAGGATCGGTGCAGCTCTGGTAGGAGTCCGCCATTGACATAAATGACTCCAGGTAGATAAATTGCCGCACCCATTACCCGCCGTCGTAATTGTGTGAATGAAGCAGTGCCCGTACGTCCCTTGGCAAGCGCCTCAGCACGTTTTTTCACGTCGTTTGTGATGTTGCGCACTGCGATTGGTGTTTTCTTTCTTCCGCGACGGGCTGGGAGTAAACGTGACTAACTACCGCGCAAGGATACACACATTTGCAACGTTGCATGTGCACTTCATTAGTGCGTGGGAACACAGTACAACAGCACAAAGCGTACTTCATGCACGCCTCGTTGCAGGATGCACTCATTTGCTTCCTTCTCTCGATGTCAGACACGCCGCTAATGACATTTACTTCTGGTAATGCACCCTCCGATGCACCCGCACGGTTTCATCTCAGCCACTGCTAATGAGCTGAGCAGCGAGGTGCACACAGCGAGAAATGACGCTCCGCATCGCTCTTTGATCACTTTGGTTCATTTGGCTGAAGCGAGACACGCTTAATGCTCCAAGTTTTTCGGCATATCAAGTAGCAATGCTGTAAATAACCGACCCCCTGTATATCAGGAGGCACTGGTTGAAAAAAGACATAACACAAGCCCTGCAACATATAAAATGTCCCAATTTCCCTAATGTAAGCGAGAAAGGCCTTCTGGATTTTTTTCTAGCCTTCTGGATTTTTCAGTAAATTAAGTTTGAAAATTATCGGCCTTCAATATACTAAGGGGTGCTGGTTTAGGGGCGTTACCAAAGCAAGCGATGCATTGGTTACATTGCCAAAACTCGGCGCTTCAAGCTATGCCGATGCCTACCACGCATGAACACAAGTACAGCTTGAGACGTCCTGTTTTGGCACCATAACCAGTCAGTGATGTTGCTTGAGACGTCGTCTAGGCAGTATTTTCTGCTGGCAATAGCTGACCCTATCGAAGGTCGATTATTGCTAACAACAGAACTCCAAACGCATAATTCCCAAATTTTTCACAGCGCTCACGGTTCCTTCAATGCGCTGGTGTACTGAAACTCAGTTATTTTCAAGATGATATTCAAGATCGTCTACTTTACTAAAGAAAGGAAT